TTTTCTACAGTAAATCAATTCTCATTTTCAACCACACATTCTTCAATAAAATAATATTTTTCATCACATCAATACTTTTTTCTTCTTTTTCAACCACACATTTCCCATCATATCACTATTCAAAAATCAATTCTTCCCCTAAAAATCCCTACCAAACACACTCCTAATTGAACAAATCCCCGTTAATTCTCATCTTTTGGAAATCTTAGGTAGGGTGAAAGATAGGAAAGTTTATCCTATTCTGTCATGTCTTGTTGCCATTCTTAGATACCTTTATTTGAATTTAAAAAATAAAAATAAAGAGAGTTGATAGAAAATAAAATTGGTTGAAGTCATTATAAAGACAAAATTGTTTTACAATTCAGTATATATACCACATTTGAGTGTTACTAACATTAAAAGGTTGTTTGAGCCTCGTTTTTGGGGATAATAGGTTTTGCAATATTGATTTTTTGTAAAATAAACGTAGAGAAAAATTTCAATTTACTTTTAAAATTATTTTATTAAAAAGATGTATGGTTAAAAATAAGTTTTGAAAAAAATGAATTTTTATAGAATATAAGCCCGACAATGTTTAATTCTCTTAAGAGGAAATTACACCAATCCATACGATTGCAAGTTTGATATTTCAAAAATCAGATATTTTATTTTAATTAAAATTTTTATAAAATAAATATTTCAACCCTACCTCCCCCTAGCTACTATCATCTACCCTCTCAAATCCTAATTATATCCATCTTTCTTCTTTCTCTATCTATCCCGTCTTTTCTCACATTTTCTCTTCTTCTCCTTTCTCTCTCTTTCTTCTCCCTCCACGAATGGACTGTCGCCGCCACCACAGCCGTCAACAACCACCTCTAAGACTGGTGTACAACATGGAACACCACCATGTGCACTGTTCGTCTACTGTATCTCTCTTCGCCATGTCCAGTTTCTCTCTATGGTGTTGGCAGTGCACATGCGGTTGATGGTTCACCGCAAGAGTCTGGCCGTGAAATGATGGGGGTTTGGTCGAATCATGGTGATCTGCAGTAGCAGCGATCTTGCCGTGAATGACGGGATCTACAGTAACGACGATTTGGCGGTGAATGGTGGGGTTTTAGCCGGATCTGATGGCGCCGTAATGGTAAGATGGGGTTGGGGGTGGCAGTGGCGTGCTACTGTGATGCTATAGATGTGGCAGTGGTATAGTGGTTGGGTGAGTTCTGTGATGCTGTGGGTGCGGTGGTTGTGTCGTAGCGATGGTGTTGTGTCCGGTGTCGTGGCGGTGGTGTTGTGTTCGGTGTCGTGGCGGTGGTACGGTGATTCTGATTGGTGACCCTCGCGCGACGATGGTGCCTTGGTGTCGTGGCGGTGGTGCTGTGCGTGGTGATGGTGTTATGGTGCAATGGTTTTGATCTATGACCCTCACGTGGTGGTGGGTCGCAAGTGTTGTACAGTGGTGGTGTTTGAAAACGATGCTATGTGCGGTGTTGCGGTAGTGGTCGTGACGATGGTGGTGGCGATGGTGTGGATGGAATGAGATGGGGGTGGGTGTCTGTGACCAATTATTTTGTTGATTGTGACCAATAATTGGCTAATTTTTTACAAATAAATAATACGTGACCTAAAAATTGTGATCATGGCTCAATTTATTAAGTTGTAATCGAGTTGTGACCAATAAAAGTTTTGATTAATGATCGAGAAATAACCGTGACCTTAAAATTCTTGATTTGTGATTAGGAAATAAGTTGTGACGAATAAAAAGATAAACTGTGATAAAAAAATAATGTGTGATCGATAAAAAAATTGTTGCGAATAAATTTTTTATTTGTGACCGTTAAATAAATTGTGATTTATAAAATTTTTGAATTATGACCAATAAAATTTTTATTCGTGATCGATGAATAATTTGTTATCTATAAAATTTTGAATCGTGACCGAAAAATAATATGTGACCTATAAAATTTTTGATTTATGATTGAGAAATAAGTCGTGATCAATAATTTGATAAATTGTGATTGAAAATTAATTTATGACTAATAATTAGAGAATTGTGACCAAATTGCATACAATTATGCCTTAATATATTTAATAAATTAATTTATAAATAAAATTTTAAAAAAATTGATTTTTGAAATTTGAAACTTATTTTATTAAATTTGAAATATGTGATACTTGTGCTCTTGTTTCTGAAATTTTCCCATTCTCTTATCCGTAACGCGCAAGTATATTGGGCTACGCGAAACTTACAATTGGGCTCTACTCAACAAACCCTAACAGGGCTTCTGCTTTTCACTTGTCCCAAACTCTACAGAGGAAAAAAAAGGAGGAAATAGTGGTGAATTTGCTCAAGAGTACCAGCAACGATGGTGGAGAAAGGTTGCAAGGCCAGGAAAGAGGAGGTTGTCTCAAGGGAGTACACCATTAATCTGCACAAACGTCTCCATGGATGGTACATTTCTCTCACTTTGAATATATATTCGAATATGTTCTTTAATGTGTCTATGCGTGTATATCTATCTATATATATCTTTCTATATATAAAAAGTGTCTATTTAACGGAATTTGTTGGTTTAACGGAAAAACTAACGGAATTTGTTGTTTTAACGGATTATGTAACGGAATTTCTTTTTTTAAACAGGTAGCTGCACCTTCTTTCAGTGTTTTTATCATAACTTTGTATTCCGATGTCCGATTGAGGCGATTCAAAATGCGTTGGAAAGCTAACTCATCTGGCTACAACTTTGATTCAGACATCATTCTCCAATTCGATCACTTTCTATGCCAAAAATATGTCTCAATATAACGGACTATGTAACGGAATTTTTTGTTTTAAACAGGCAGCTGCACCTTCTTTCAGTGTTTTTATCATAACTTTGTATTCCGATATCCGATTGAGGCGATTCAAAATGCGTTGGAAAGCTAACTCATCTGGCTACAACTTTGATTCAGACATCATTCTCCAATTCGATCACTTTCTATGCCAAAAATAGGTCTCAATATGAGACTAAAACATCGGAGCATAACTTTTCGGTTGGAAATTGATTTGTGATCATCTTTTGACTAAATTTGATTCCATTGACGTCTTCCTTTATCCAATTGACTCCGAGCACTCTCAAATCTTCATCGTGAGGTTCGGCACAACTTTTAAGTATTTACATTTTAGTCCCCGAACTTTGGATCCCTTACAATTTAGCCATTTCTCCAAATTTGTCAACTTTTGCTTATTTTCTTCGATCTCACCAACTTACATCACAACATCAAAATCACACATCTAATTATTTATCAATTACATAAACATTACATCATTAATTATTTAATTAACCAAAAAAATTACATCTTTATTAATAACAAATTAATTCTTAAACAAAACTATTAAATATAAACTACGCAAACGTGCATTGCACGTTGCTTGCACACACACACACACACATACACATATATGTGTGTGTGTGTGTGTGTTTTCAAACAGCTCAGATCTGTATTAGTTTGTTTATTGTTACTTTGTTGAACTGTTGGGGTTAAGTTTGACTGCTTTCTTGCAATTACGTTGTTCGATAGAATCAAGTCGTGTCTATTTTTGTTTTCATTGGTTCATAAGATAGCTTTATCGAAATTCACATCTCCCCTTTTACCTTTGTGCTTCTGTGTTTGAAAAAACGTAAGAAGTGAATTATTTTTATTGTATTTACATATGAATCTCGAATTTGAAATGGAAATATAAATGATTGCATTCGAAATATAGTTTACCTAATATGAGTGTATGCCTATAAAGCGACCATCAAGAAGAGTGTGTAAAATTGAAGGAATCTAATTGTTAACATTCATATAAGCTTTTGCCCATTCATAATGAACTATTAATGTCCAAAGCAGTTTAAAATGCAATTAGTCTGTGTTATGGACTTCTTTAAGCGTTCCAAACTTATTTCTGTGGAACAATTTTCTGGTTGAAGCAAATACATGCTTATTTGCATCTGTGTAGTGGGTGGTAGTTTAATGTTTTGTGATTGCACTGCAATATTTGCCTTTTATACAAAAGGTCTTTTATGGCAAAGGGTTCTCGCTGCTTTTTGTATCAGAGTAATGCTATTCATCCACACTGGGGATGAAAACACAGTCTACGTGATGTCAATGTGACATTAAATAATAGGTGAAATTTAATTTCACATTTTATTTAACCTATTATTTAAAACCACATAGACTGTGTTTTCATCCCTGCCGGGGATGAATAATATTACTCTTTGTATAAATGTCTTTTAATCATGTCCGTTAGTTTTTTAATTTAGATTTTTTGATATTTATCAGTTATTTTTAAAAATTTAAATTATATTTTTTATAATATTAAACTGATCCAACAGTTAACCGTCGATCGGATATGTCCTAGATTTTTCATTTATCGACTTATGAACCAACCCACCCGATTTATGGGTTAGTTAACGCGCTATTTTTAATAGGCATGTCAGGAATAGGTCATGTTAGACCCGTCCAATTTGACATCACTATCAGGAATCCATTATAAGGTCCACGAGTGCAAATATTTCAATCCTTGCTACATATAAAGTCGACAAATTAAAAAGAAAAAGGAAAAAACAATTCCTTTCAAACTGTTTTTTCATTTTTCGTCAATATTTTTTTTTTCATGCGTGTCCATGTATCTATCAAAAAGAAAAAGAAAAAAAAAAAAACAATTTATGTGAAACAGTTTTTTCATTTTCTGTCAATTTCTTTTCGTGCGTGTCCATGTATCTATCAAACTTACTTAGCAAAACTGTTTCAATAAGGAAAATCTTACACGCCCTTTAAACCACTTAAACCCTAACCCATATTTTCCAAACTATTCCCCCCATAAACCTTCTAATTTTCCCAACATCAGAACACTATCCACTGGTGCCTCACGATTTCTCATCATTCTCACGTCCGCCTGACCGCCGGCCGCCACGCCTCTGCTCTCCGGTCTCCCTCACTGATACTGGCACTAGTCTCTCTCTCCGGTCCGCCCTTTCTAATTTCTAAATGTAAAACTCCAACCCTTCTATTTCTGATTCTCCAAATCCATCTCTGTTTCATCTATTTATCCTTCACTTGGTTGATTCTCAATGCCCAAGACAGTTCCAGTGTGAAACTCTTCGCTATTTGGAGTTTCCTCAAATTTAACAAAATTACTGTAATATTACAACTGACGTTGTAAAATAGTAAGCCGTTTATACGCAAATTCTAATTCAAACAAACCAATAATCCACCACCAAACCAAACACGATTTCCAATTTTATGTGGATTTTCAGAAGAACTGAATGATGTCTTCTTTTTGTTTTAGATAGAGTAGACTATAACTATTTTATTTTTACCTAATAACTACTGGTGCTGCTTCCCGTGCTATTCATTCAACTTTCAAGTCAGTCTTGCAGGAGATGTGGAGCTTTTTAAAAATTTGAGGCAGTGTTAAATTAATTCACAGAAAATACTGAATGACTATAGTTATATGTTACAACATGATCTTTGGAGCCATGGCCATTTATGTGGCATGGCATGGCTGCAAATTTGTTATTTCTGGTTTTGTTTTGTTGAGAATGTGAGAAATTGTGATGAAGATATGACCCCAAAATCAGTTGTTTCTTCACATTATAGGTTGCGTTTACGACATTTTCCCAATTCCCACTGCTTTGCCTTTATGCTTCAACATTCCCTTCAGTTTCTGCTTTGCGTATATTCTATTTGTATTGAGTTCGTTTTAATTATTTTAACAATTTAGTTTAAAATTGGAATTATTTCGCAGAGAAGAAGAACGCGTCACCGCTTTATCCACTTGGGGTACGACATCTTTGAATGCGGCTGTGTCACTTGATAATTCTCTAGATGATATGTACTTCTCACCTCCAAGACCTCTGCCTTGTGATGCGGATCCACGGTATTTCCTAGATTTACTATATTTTTAAGTACGTAATTGTTTGCAACAAACCCTGAGATATAATTTGCATATAACAGAGCATTAGAATGGTTCTCTTATTCCTATCTGATATCATTGCTCATACAGATTGTAGTTTCCTTCTATTAATTCGTAGATTGTCGAAACGCAACTTCTTTCATTTTTCATATCTAAAACCAATTTTATATTTTCTCTAATTTAGGGCTAAAGCATGAAAGAGTGCTGCAATTTTGAAACATGGAATTCTTTGCAAGTTTAATTATGCCCCCTTAACTCAAAATGTCTGCGTCCGCCAGTGGCGAAGGGTTGAAAAATGTTCTACCTTTCCTATGCTTGTCGATGTTTTTTAGACCATTTTTTCATTACAGTTATTGTTTTATTTTTACCATGGCGACATCATTATTTGAAGCTGCTATTTACATGTGTGGTCCTTTTGATTTGAATTCATGTGCAGTGAAAAACTTGATTTTTGCTACTTCATGTGTTGGATGTTTTCCACATAACAAGTGTAGCAACAACTTTAAGAAGGCTATAGTTTTCCAATTCTACAGTCACAGAAAAGAGTACAGCAGCTGTCAGAGTAGCGTTTCTCCTAGAATCTTATCTAGTGAAATTCATCCTATTCTTCGATCCAGTGGTCTTCAACATTGGTTCAAAAATTGGCAAAAATTGAGAGAGAAGAAACTGACAGCAAGTACTTTTGCAATGGCTATTGGCTTTTGGCATCACAGAAGAATCCAATTATGGCTAGAGAAGCTTGGAGCAATCGAGCCATTCGCAGGTAATTTGGCTACCTGTTGGAGCAACATTAAGGAAGAGGAAGCTCTTGAAAGATATAAGTTGATAACTGGAAATACAGTATCATTTCCTGAATTTCAGGTCTATGGGAAGCAGAACCCAGATGACAATTGGCTAGCAGCTTCCCCTGATGGGTCTGTTGACAGTCTTGTTTACGGCTTGTCTTCTCGCGGGGTTCTTGAGATTAAATGTCCATTCTTTGATGGTGATATGAGAAAGGCTACCCCTTGGAAACGAATACCACTTTATTATATCCCCCAAGCTCAAGGATTGATGGAAATACTGGACCGAGATTGGATGGACCTGTACATGTGGACTGTGAATGGCAGTAGTTTGTTTAGGTTACACCGTAATAGGGATTATTGGGATGTCTTGAAGATTGCATTGTCTGATTTCTGGTGGAAACATGTCCAACCAGCGAAGGAGGAGTGCAATAAATCAGTTATCACAAATCCTCAAGTTCAACTAAAATCACTTAAGCCAGCTCCTAAGCATGAACTATGCAGTTACATTGTATATGAAAGCAAACGTGTTGTTGACTACTCGGAGCTGCTCATGCGTGAAATTCATTTTAAATTGCAAAACTGATGCGGTAAAGTGATGAAACCAGGGTGATTTGCCTGGAAATGAGAGCTCCTTCTTTATCACAATGATGTAAGTTGAAATACAGCTCTGAAGATTGGCTTTCAAGGCTGACGAAGAGATGCTAAAATTGTAATGGAAAGCTTAATGTAAGTTAACCTATACTTTCCTGAATCCTTTAAACTTGACTATTTCTATTAGAATTCTTTTTGTGCCAAAAGAAGGTACCTATTTTCCCTCTTGTACATTCCATTTTGTTGGAGCATGATAACACAAGAATTTTGGGGAATGATTCCATTCTCTTCAAGATGCTTTTATACTTTATGGAAAACCTGGAAAACAATAGATGCATCTGACTTGTTTTTAAGAAGACATGTCCAGCATACATGGGTATGGTCATCTGTTAAGGCAGTGAACTAACCAGACAGTTTTCACTTGTGGACCCCAGACATCAGCATGCCTAAAAGAAAAAGTTGATGGAGCATAGCTTTGTGTATGGAGAAAATGCTCGATGGTGTTTAGAGGATTCACAAGTCTCACACTTAAAGATCAGAGCTATTTAATTTGTGATTAATCAAGGAAATAACTTATTTAGGTAAGCAAAACTGGGGTGTCCTTATCTATGATGTCATGATATAATTTCACTATTGTACGTTAAGTTCTACTTGACATTTCAGTATTGTCATTAAAGAACTCTCACATTGATGTGCCTGTGGAGCTTTTTACACTACCCTTTATTAATCTTGCAGAATAAACAAGTTATTCAATGTTAGCGAAGCCAGTCCTCTTCCTGATACAAAGTTGCTGAAATTCATAGCGGGTATAGTAGAAAATAGAAAAATACAATCTAGTAGAAAAGTTTCATCGGCTAGTTTTACTTTTTGATGCATTCAACATGCGACATCAGAAGAGAAAAAAATAGTTGACGAAGCTGTCATATGGTTCCAGAATCAATGATCCATGGGCTAGATTGGTTTATACTAGTTAAGCACAGAAAGGAAGTTACCTACTTGAGCCATGATAGCATTAGAAAGCAGGGGAGCAGTGTTCACTCGTAAGCTGTTGGAGGTGAAGTTGGTCCTTGCTGAGAATTGAGATTCGGATGGTCCAGCACCTTTGTTAATGTATATTGTCTGTTCCTGTTCCTGCATTAGCCAGCTCCCGGAGTAATTTCAGGTGATAAGGATTATAACAATTGATCTATTATTCATTAGTCTAATATGGTTTATGGGATTTGTCTTCTCGGTGCATTGTTAAGTTTTAATATTTTGCTTTTACTTGTGATATTATTGTGTTTAACTGTCATTATGATTTTCATTTTTTGTCCTTTATCCACCATCACCCTTGCATAATGGAGCATTCATGGTTCTACTGAGCCATCTTTCAACCATTCGTCCCAACTCTGAAATATTGATTGGGCACCTAACTGCATGTGGTTACTCCATAGCTCTACTGACAAGAATCTGATCCTTTGCTTCCCAAAAATAGGCTTGTAACTGGATATTTATTAATGAATTGTGTATGTACATGCAACTGAAGCATTCCCAATCCGAGCGATGAATTATATCACTTTCTAATCTGAAATTATAGCTGCTTGGGTTATCTACCTAAGAATCTGTTGAATGAACATTTGTCTTTTAGAGAAAGAGAAAGTGGAGCCAGACATGGCGTGGGAAGTATTGCAAAACATGCCTTGAAATGTAGAAGCAGCAGCAGTGAGTTTCACCGAATGGTTGTATGTTTGAATAGCAGTATATCTCCTTTGGTGAATCTTCATTGGATTGTCGAATGAATTATCATAAATCCTCTCATTCAACTAAAATCACTTAGGCCAGCTCCTAAGCATTAACTATGCAGTAACATTGTATGTGAAAGCAAACGTGTCGTTGACACTTCAAAGCTGCTAATGCATGATATTCATGGAATTTTTTTTTTTTTATAACAGTGGATGTTCGGGCCAGCTTGCGCGTTCGACTAATCTCACGGGGCCCTGAAATTTATAGCCAGATACTCACCTCAGTGGCCCGGAGGGGATTCGAACTGGTGACCATTAGGGAGCAAACCCAAGGCCTAACCAATTGAGAGAAAATTGCAAAATTGATGTGGTAAAGTGACGAAACAAGTGTGGTTTGCATGGAAGAGAGAGCTCTTTCTTTTGTCGCCATGATGTAAGTAGAAACTCAGTTCTAAAGATTGGCTCTCAAGGCCGATGAAGAAAGTTAAAAGTTAAAATGGAAATATTAAATGTAAGTAAGATCACACTATCCTGAAATTTTTCTAACCATTTCTATTGGATTTCTTTTTCCTTTTTTTAGTTGTTAAAAGATATTTTGTAATTCTACCTATCTAATGCATTTAGTTGTGTAGGGGTGCAAAGTAGGTCTCACTTGTTAACTTTAAACATCTGGTACTATACCCTTGATGTTTTTTGTCCATATCTAAGGATTAAGGAATCCACACTCTGCATCAACTAAAAAAAATAGGGAAAACTTCTTGAAAGAAAATATTATATATGCTTATTTCATGTCATTATATTTGGCCCCCTATTTGGTATACATTCTTTAAAACTCTTTTTTGCCAAACTCATTTTCAACTACACAGTCTCTCAATAAAATACATTGGTTAATGCTTTCCCTAAACACTATTTGGCAAACAAGTAATTCTTCTAATTCTAAGCAGTTCCTTTGCAGAATCTGAATTGTTATTGTCATTAGCAATTTGGAATTGGAATGCTGATATATGCAATAAAATCATTCTTATATAGTTTGCTTCAGTTTATAGCTTTATTGTGAGAAGAATTGGATTTAATAAAATGATTTTTTATTGGACAATAATTGAGTCCTTTATGCAACAAGTCAATTGCATACATTGAAGTTCTTCATAATCTACTTGCAGGCATTTTTTCTTGTATTATAATTCTGCAAACTGTGGCTACTCAGTTTCAAGAAAACATAGTTGGCGTCTCCTTAAATAAAGATAAGGACACATGGAAGATGGTCTATTCAAGTCGTACTATGTAGCATTGAATTGAATTGAGAACACTGGACAAGGTTTTAGCTGCTTTTTCTTTTTTAATATTGTTGGGTCCACTACATTGCCTAACGTGTCAATAGAGTTAGATGTAAAACCATTCCATCTCACTACTTGTTGAAGGTGTAACAAGATCTATGAATATTGTCTGTACTTTATATGAAGAAAGAAACTTTTGTTAATCTTCTCTCTTTTTGTTACAAGTTATTGAACTGGAATGTGATAGTTCATTCGTTTCCAACCATAAGGGGAATGGGGTCTGATTTATTGAAAAAGTTTTTAATGCGTCATTTACGTTATATAGGAATTCTCGCTCAAGAGTCAAGGATAACAAGTTTTTTATTACCAAAACTAGAATAACTTATTAGAATAATAAAAGAAGATTATATTTGTCAAGAAGTGCAAAATTGTATGGATTCGATATCAAATGCATAAAATGAGCACCGTCCTCTTTGATTGTTTGATGGTGTAGCTCTTTTTTTTTTTCTAATGCAAATTACTAGTAATTGTAAGTTATAGAAAAATAAATATTAAAAATATGTAATACTCTATATTTCATGTAAAGGGAGGAACTAAGAAGTATATCTCTCTTTTGTTTTTTGATAGTCAATCTGGTTTTTCGAATCCTTTCGTTTAGAGTAGATCCGTTCATTTAAATGTCTGTCAATTTAATGAGCTATTCTCTTTAAATGACTGGTACTAAAAAATAAAAGCATATTACACTATTTAAGATTCATTATAATTAAGAAAAATTGTTCGCAAATTAAGCCTTTTTTTGGTAGAGATTAAAATTAGTTTTTTAGTGCATTTTGATAAAAGTTGATGAAATATGTGGTTGAAAAGTTGTGGATCTTATGAACTTTATAGCTAAAATTAATTATTGACTTTAATTTAGATTTTAATAAAAAAATTTAGCGGTCCCAAACAGGGCTAAAATTGGTTGAAGATACTGTGCCCAGTTTTTCAAAATTTTAAATACTCAAAAGGTATATGTAAATCTAAAAGAATTAAGAGCATCTTCAATGTATTTTGCGGATTACAATTTATGTGGCATTTGAAGATGAATTAACCTATCTGTACAATCTTAATTGACAGTTATGGTTGACAACTTTGTTGTCAAAATTCGAATAATTGATTTTAAAAACAATTTTTGAAGTGGATGAATGTGATGTTGCCAAGTGTGATTTGTTAACCAACATTGTCTATAAAAAATTGTACAATTAGCGTGATTCTTTGAATATATGGATTTTAGTCGATATGACATAGATGTCTAATGAATAGATGGTTATGTCTAAAAGTGGGCAAGGAGTAATCGAATGTTGTTTGACTTTCTGGAGTGTTTAGTAATGGTGCAAATATCACTCCTTCAATCAGGCACCACAATTCCAGCAGTCAAGACAAATCTTCTCCAAACAAACTCCATGATTCACGCACAACTATTCCCTGAATCATGCATCTTCTTTGTATAGCTCATTTCCCTTATATAGCATCATTATTCTACTGTATATATATCCTAGTCATGTTGCATTGTAATAGTGTGAGATAATAATATATTAAGAACATCTTTATGGTATCAGAGCATTCCCTCCAACGAGAATCTCGATCCCAACCTTCTGCTGCTATGGCATCATCAGATAACTCAACCCCCTCCAGTCAGCCCATTGTCTCTCACCCAACTAGTGGCTTTCTCTCTGACAAAGATATCTCCCTTATTGCCATAAACACAAACCAATTACAGCGCCTTACTTCCTCCAATTATCCATCATGGTGCGCTACCTTTACCAGTCTGCTTCATGGCTACGAGCTCATGGGGTACTTAGATGGTACTCTCCCATGCCCATCGGAGCCTGCTACATCTACAGATGCTACTGCTCGTGCTGCATTTAAACTTTGGTTCCGACAGGATAAACTTCTCCTTAACGCTATCCTTGCTT